ATATAGAATGAATTACCATTTTGAACAGAGATGCTATAGTGAAAAAGCATAGCTGAGACAGAGCTTTACATTTGTTCCAGCCAACAGCATCAGAACTAACTTGGAAAGAGCTTTATCCAGGTGTTTCAGGAAAGTTCTGTACTACTGTAGGGCTGCAATTACAGCTTTCTGAAAGGCATCTACCAAGCAGCAGAAATCAATTAAATTCTGGATGCACAAGCAATTTGTATTCTGTGGTGTTCATGAGTACTGCAACTAGGTTTGTGTAAAATAAGAAGCTGGTTCAAGAAAATATAGTTACCAGTAACCGATGTTTCTCATGAATTTGTGTCTGAATTCTAAGTTTGGAAATTTATACATAGAAAAACAGAATCTGCGTTTTCTTAAAACTTGGCTTAAAACTTGGCAAATTCTGCTACATACATACCGAGTATCAATATCAATTAAACAAATTTACACCAAACAAACCTGAAAATTAACAAGCTATCAAAGGAAGACCATTAGAAAGACTTTCAAACAACCATCATAAACATGCAACAAACTGTGCCAACTATCTAATGAGCAGATGGAGCTAACAATCCTTCCTAATGTTCAGTATGGGTCACGAACACAAATCTGCTTCTTAGGCTCATTAAATAAATAGAAGTACTTGTTAAAATAACACTAAGGTTCCCACTAGAACTGCAATGACAAAATATAAATTCCAGAAATCTGCTGTTGCTAACTTGTTTGAAAATATGTACCTTTTTGGCCCTTCCACCTAAGTGGTTAAAAAAAACACTATAAAGCACTAAACTTGCTGCTCTCTCCACAGAACCCCAGTGCCAAGATCTCTGAAAAGGAACATACGCAGTCTTCAATGTATTGAATGGGTTTGTGTTTGCTTCAAAACTTTATTAGATATTTACTCAGGTATCAGAAAAGGCTCAAGATGGTTTGGGAGATAAACACCATGGCTAAGTGCTAAGCATTAACAAAACTTTGTAGCTTCTTTGGCTGATCTACCATTCCAGTTTCAATGAATGCATCATGACCAGCACGTGACCTACAAAAATATCTGATTATTAAATAGATAATGGTCCCATAATTGTAACACTTAGGCTCCAAATTAGTTCACTATACAGCTTCTGTACAACAGCCTTATTTCTATTTCTGTTTGGCTTCCTCCTTCTTGCAGATTTATTTATTTAATAAAAACATGCAGCAACTGCATTGCTTGCTGCAATGGCATCCTCACAGCTCTGGAGCAAGACTACCTTAACATAGTACTGATGTAGAAAAAAACCAACACACTTACCACTGCCAAAGCCACTAAGAAGTCAGAGGGAAAAGCCAATTAAAACATACTATTTCAAATTACACTTAATTTGAGATGCAAGTAAGGAACCCTGAGTTTTCCCCTCTCGTAAGGCAGAAACCAGATGTACAACATATGTAATTCACTAAGCAATACAGGAAAATAACTTCTAAAAAAAGGGGCTAAAGACTTAATTCAAAGACTCAACATGCAGTGTATGGGTAAGCACAGCTTTGGACTTCACATATGTGAAAATTTAAGAGGCACGCACTTGAGTACTCAGAAGAGTTTTCCTCCACAGCAGGTAAACTTTTCAAAATTCCCATCAATGGGATTACTGATTCTAGCTTTTTTTCTGTTGTTTTAATTTTCCTGGAACTAACCACACAAAATATAAGCTCTGATATGATTTCTTCTACTTATGTGGTTGAATATAACCCAGTAACGACAACTAACGGGATCTCAGCTGACTCAAGACTCGTCATCTTCATGGTGGCAAGGAGGCAATTTTCATTTACCAAGAATTACCAGAATTTTTACCTAACAAGTCCTGTCTATTGATCTGACCAGACACCCACCTATGCATCAGCCCAAGCTATTTTCTAAACTATGAAGAAGATGGGGACAGAGAGAACAAAAAACATTAACTACATATGCCAATGACAATACAATTATTCGGATAAGGTTCACGGCTTTGTAATACATTCCTAATTCTTACTGAGCTCCAGCAAGGGAGCAATTTGCATTGGATTTTTATAAAACCTCAACAACAAGTGAATCATGTGAGAGAACTGATTCAACAGTGATTTTCTAAGTAACATGCTGGACTTCGTGTTGACTTAAGTTACTTTTTGCTCCTCTTAGGAATTTCTCCTCTTCCTATTTTTCCTGTAAGTGATGACACCTACAACCTCAAGTTGTTTTCTAAATACATGACAAAGTTGTCATTTTTGCAAGTGCAAATCCATCCAAAGTAACAATCACTTACTTTTTTTAAACTGCTTACCAATTTACCAGCATTTTTTGTGTGTGTGAAGGCTACAGTTAACCTAGTCCTTACAAGGTAAGAAAAAAAATTACCATTCTGTACTCCAGCAGTTTTTTCCCCAGAACACTAAGAATGTACTACTACACAAATACAAAATACTGACCTCTATGCACCAATTCCTGCGAGTTCATACCACCCTCTGCTATTAGAAAAGAGCTCTTGTTCGTGGAACTAATTCCTTGGAGACTGTCTGTTTACCTGAGCACAGCATAGCTTCACAATATGATCAATAGAAGGACCATTTATCCTCCTTTCTGTCCCTCAAAGTAAGGCATTCAATTACAGTATGAGAAAACAAGCTATGAAAAAAAGGTATAACAGCTTTGCTTGACTCTGATCCAGTACTTTCTGGTTCATCTTCAACTTGCATCTTCCATGTGGGTTGGAGCTACTTATCTATAACACACTCGGAGGAAAAATAATAATTTCAAGTAACAATTAGTCTTTTTATGCATATTATGCTTTATTATAATGAGAAGACCCAGGAATTATTACTTTCTCAGCTTAGCTGTATAAATTCAGGAAGGTGAACCTCCTATTCAGCTTTAAATGAAGACGCTGAAGGTGAACTACAGAAATCAAGGCTAAATATTTAGCAGTACTAATACCCATTTCTCAACAAAGACACAGCAGCATCCTTTTCTACACCACAAAGGCTTTCTCAGAAGATATTTTCATAGTAGATAACCCAGTATTCATAGATATGGTTACCTCTGCAGCTCTTAGCTGTACACTTGCTTCATTATACTCTGACTCTAGTTTGTTCTTCTCAGCAGCCACTACAGTGCTCTGAAGAGCCAAATCTGCTTTGAGGATGTTCAGTGAAACGCAGCTCTGCACAAGAAAACAGAAAATGCAGAAAATGGCTTTTTTTTTTCTTTTCCTTCACAACAGTCTCAAATTTGACATAATTACTATTAGGCTTTAGAAACTATCCAGTTTTCAGTCATAGCATAGAATCTCACACTGTGCTCAGTTCTTCCACACTGCTGTCTAGCCAATTGAGTTAAAAAAGACATATTGATAACCCAAGCTCTTCAAGATGGATAGTCCCCATGTACTTTCATCTGTAATCAGCCACATCGCACTTTCAAAAACATAATTTAACACTAAAAAAAAAGCACATTCTGTTTCCCTATACTCACATATCATACACTCACATGTAAAACATGAGAAGAGACAAAGCCATCTCAATTCTCTGAGAACGAATGAAGTAGCTGGGTTTTGGTGGACTTCATAAGTCACACACAGAGATGGAAAAAGGTCAAAAAATGAACACGTACGATATAGCCTCTCTCCCTAATGAAGCATGACAGCCTACAGTGATTCTAGTGTATTAAATCTTACCTGGAACAGCATACAACAAAAGGAGGCTCTATTTTGAAAGTTCCTTAACAGGTTTTAGTGATCCCCAGAACCTGGTCTGAGAACTGGTTGCTTATTTAAATGAGTCTTTAACAGTGGAACAAGGCTGTTTCTCTCAACTGGCTGTAAAGTATTAACATGTATTAGGTATATGTCAGGTACCCTCTCTGCCTTGTGCATTTGTGTAAATATATGTGCAGCCTGTCACTCCAGCTGCCCGTTTCACAGAAGTCCCAGAACTCTTAAAAACGCCTATCATGTTGCCATCACACAAACACATGACTATGTATGTTTTTATCATTTTAATAGCTTACACCCAACGTAACTACAAAACCTACTTAATAAAGTATGAAGATACCCATGAACTTGGAAGCGTTCATTAAGTTTGAGTTGGGGACAAGTAAAAAAATATGGATTTCAACAATATCGATCGAACATATAATAAACATCTTCCTTGTATCAGATCATTTTCTTCTCTTCAGCATGTACTAGCATATAGTTTCTACAGCACACAAAGTGTGAAAATTAAGCTGATAAAATAGCTGAAAAACCCCCTTTTGTAATCAGTAACTACTTCAGGCAAATACTGTCCAACCTCCCTTACACCTGTGGTATACTGAAAAATACATGGTATGTCTCAAATCTGTTTTCCTATACTGGGTGAAGATTAAGACACTCCTTCAAGCAGGTCATACAGGAGTCAGTAAATAACTTCGGCTGCACTTTACAACAGCTACACACTTGGACAGTTAACACACTGGGAAATGGGCATCAAATATGAAAATCAAAAGCATATCCCAGAAATCCTTGTTTTAAATGCAGAGCATTTGCACAAGTTTTGAAAAGAGCTACTCTTCTGTATTGCTATTAACCGCACAAGTTCTGTAACCTCTGTAAAGTAATCTATAGCCTAAGCCACCCTTTTAACATGGCTGGTATGTTCTACCATTCTTTGGCATTTTCAAAATTGCCTTGCCTAGCTGAACCAAAAGTGATCTCTGAAACACTCCCATTGTTGCAGTCCATGTCTATCACAAATAGATACAGCATACCCATCTGACATATTTTTCTTTATTTACTATATAAATACCATCAGCTGAAGTGTATACAATTCAGACTCACTTCAAAGGTAACAAAACTCCTAGTTTCAGGTAATTTTTTCACGTATCTAATGACTGCTCTTTTTTTTCAATAAAAACAAACCAAAAAATGGTATGATGAACTAGGGTGTAAGGAACAGTTCAGAGAATTATGCAGCATTCTGAAAACATAGAGCCTGAGATGGCTACACAGTTAATTCTTGTTTTGACTGAATCAGTCTATAGACTAAGACTTTGGTCACTCAGGGTGCCCAATGCAAACAATCTACAAATCAAATCAATGACAGATGAACAAACTTAAGTTCATAAAAGCTTCCAAAGATGTGTATCTTGAAGCAAGTTAGTTCATAAACATTTACGGTAACACATCCAAACATTGCATACATTATATTTAAACTACAAAAATCAGGACTTCTCACAATAGTGGAACATATACCAATTTGAAAATACCTGCCTTTATGAGATGCATTAATTCAGTAGCAAGTCTTGCTTTTCGGACATTTATTTCTTTGATCTTTACATCTGCCTTTTGAGATTCCTCCTCTAGGTTGATAGCATCTTGTTCCAGCTGTCTTAAACTATGGGAGGAATCAGTATTTAATTAATCCTGATTAAAATTAAATGGTACAAAAATACAACCATTCTTAATCTTGGTGATGAACCAACAGTTAGCAAGAATAGGACTTCATATACTTAAGCATTCCAAATACATTAGATACTTGCAGTCTAAGCACTTTAAACTTAAGAAATTCAATAGCAAAAAAAAATCATTAAAGAAACGCCAATTTTGGCTACAAAGGACATCACTCAATAACAATACTCCTTTACTTCTGAATATTTCAGATTTAAAAAAAACACAAATTAACACAAGAATGACATTTTTCTTCCACTGCTATTTCCTTGCATCTATAAAGCATAGGGGAGTTAATGAGGTTTCCTTGATTATTGTAATACATACTAGTAAAAAAATAAAAATAAAAAGATCCTCAACTTAATGCAGAAAACCAGAATTTTCACTTGTTTTAAACCTCAAAACCACATAATGATGACAAACTTAATGCAAGATAATAACGATGTTTAGTGAGCTGCAAAGCATCTGAGTATCTTGAAAAATGGCTAACCAGGCCAACAGAAAAACTACAAACCAATTATTCTTGCTTCGATCCCTGGGAAAACTGTGGAGCAAGTTCCCTTGGAACACAGTTCTAGAGAAGAGGGTGCTCAGAAAGGATCAGCAAGTTATTTACCAAGGTACATCAAATCTGATGAACCCAGTTGTAAAGGGGCAGATAGCAGGAGCTCAAGCAGTTGCCATCTACCTCAGTTTTAGAACAGTTTTCTGTTAGGTTATGTGATACTCAGGTATCAGGTGCACACCCAAAAAGGAGAGACAACAGCAGATGCATGAAGCCCAAATAATACTTTACACTGTCTAACCCCAGGCCCATCACAGTAGTGATCAATCAATTAAATGCCCATGTCCATGAGCCCAGAGGTACACAGGAACCCATACTAAGGACACAGAGGAAGGGACAACCAGGACAACCTCAGCACCAGCACCCAGGTGTGAAACCAAACAAATCAACATCACAGCACCCTCTGGACTGCACTGAAACAGCTTCTTTTCTAGCAGTACAAGAGACATTAGAGGATGCAGCAGAAAAGCATTTAGTGACCAGCATTTCATGTCCCTGGTCAGTGCAGGGAGGTTGGAACCCTTTAAGGTCCTTTCCAGCCCTAACCATTCAATGGTTCTATGACTGCATAGGACTTACTATTGGCTATTCAAAGAAGAAACCAAATGCAAGAAAAGGGAGGGTTCCAGACAACTTGGAGAGGAACAAGTACAGGAAAACACGATGATATGGGGTTAAAAGGGTCAGTTACATGTAAACAGTTGGCTGGTCAATAATACACTTGTCCAGCCATCCCCAATTAGTACTTGCTCATTCAATTGCATTTTGCACTCTCTTCCTAGGTGATGCGACTCTATTCAGCATTAATGTGTGTGCATGGGAGTCTAGAGGCAATGAACTGTAGTCAGATCATAAATGAGGAGAGGGTCTGTTTGTCTGTGATGCTAGCAGCTGGAAAGATGGGAGTGAGGAGACTTAAGCAACAGTCACTGGAGTGGGACCACAGGTCAGAAGCCCATTGTGTTTGTTGTCCCTAATGCCACCTGGTACAAGCACAGGTGTGCAAGTGTTTGATCCCCAGTGAACCAAGCCAGACTAGCTGGTTAGTAGCTGCAGTAGCCTGGGATCCAACGGGGTGTGTGTTTAACTAATGGTGAGACCACAGGAAGAGATGGCTATTGGATGGACATGGGGAGTCCAGCCTGGATGCCACTGACCCTGAGGTCTGCTGTCTCTAAGGTTGAGACTTGCTGGCATGTGCTATGTATGAAAGGGAAAGATGATTGGGGTGTTGGCTACTGGGGACTACATGTTGACTACATGTTGGCTCTCATGGATAGCTCTGTGCCTGTGTGTCTCTGAGTGAAATATGTTGGCTACTCGGAAACCAGGGAGCCCAGCCAGTTCTGAATGTGTGTCCACATGGGTGAGTGAGAGAGCAGGGCTGTAGCCTCAGGGGTCTGTATGTCCAGCTACCAGCAGCTGGGGAGCCTGAGGTCCAGAGGTAGCTACTACGCACACTCAGTGTGCCTTGACCCAGCTGCTTATGGGACCTACATTGTCCACGGGCATGTGCAGAGGTCTCACTAGGGGAACCCCATCCTGCACAGAGTAGACAAGAAAACTTTTAACAGCCTTATCTGCAATTGTGTCAAGATTCCCACTCCTATGCAAAATTAAAAGAGTGTAATTATTTTTTTCAAAAATTAGGATTTAATTGATATTTGTTTAGGCTAAGGGTGCATCTCCTTCCTTTAAACCATATTCTGTATGTATGTATGTAATAGTGTAAAAAAAGATTACAATATATGTACCCCTAATAAGAAACCAAAGAGCAATACTTGCCTTTGAGGCTAAGCTCACATCCACACTTTTTAATGCTGCTCCTTTTCATAGCAACTTGGACACTTATGACTATGCAATAGTTTATCTTGGTCCCCCTAACATGCATGCAGCCTTATTTTTCTTTTTTTCTCAACACACTTTTTTCAGTTTAATGACAGTAAGTAACACAAAAGCTGTGCACATGAGAACAAACACCAACTTTCAGAAAATAAAAGTAGTGTGGCATAAGAACATATAGCAGTGTTTGAGGGTATAATGTCCGCTGGCACTGTCTTACAAGAGAGGAGGGAATGAAGTCCAAGGCAGTGTCATCTACACTGCCTTCTGGGAGTGTGAGCTGAAGTGAAATACCTCTGGAACCAGTTATCCCTTATGACAAAGCAGTAGTAGAAGAACTAATTGCAGAGGCCAACAAACCCAGAAAATACATTAAGACAAATACTGCAGACAATCAAGTTCAACTTGATTCCGACATGCTTACTTAGGAACATTTATGGACATTATGGTGTTACTTAGATGTGTATTATGAAGACAGAAGACTATGGTGATATTTGAGTAAGTGCAATGATCTCTCACTGGAATCCTATGATTTTATTACAGGAAACCATGTGGAAGTTACATGGTTTCTCAAATACTGCCTTATCTCCATTTCTGAACATCTTTGTCTTGATTATCACCTGTGTCTGATGCTCAGCTACTGGTTACTTTATAAGCATAAAAGCACACTTCCTGAAGAGGAAGGCAAAATACCTTCATTACTGAAATTGTTCATGTTCACAGATAATGTGTCTTGCTTCCTACCTATCATACTTCACAGCAATTTTGGATTCCAGCTGTCTCCTCCTGTTTCCTGTCTCTAAAAGCTCCTTCTTCTTTTGCCTGAGCTCATTGTCTCTGCGTTCCAGTTGTTTCTGTTTCTCAAACAATGCAGTCAAACGCACATCGAAGGACTTAAGTGTGGCATTGAGGTCCTGAAACAAAACAACACAGACCATGGCATACTTACTACTAACTAGCGTATTTTCACATGCAAGTAGGCAATCCTTATTGCATGATAAAATGTGTAGTTTTCACATCATATACAGCACAGGACTACACTCTTACCTGTAGAAGGTGTTCCAGTTGTCTTCTTTCCTCTGTATCCACTGAACTATTGAGAAACTGTGCTGGCCTCAGGCATGAGTTAGTAGAGACTGTTAGGTTTGTATAAGCAGATACCTTAACAATATATTTTTCCTCTGCTGTGTATATTTGCTTAAGTTTGGTTTCTTGTATGACCTAAAAAACACACAAGAATATTAATCTGGCAAAACCATCACTTAAGGCAATGCTTTTCAAGAACAAGGAATGAACTAGCTAAAATCCACACTAACAAACTTCAGCATCTGCAAAATTCTGACTGGCTACCAAGCCTTTGCAAAAAGATGCTGCTAAATTTAATGCATCATTAGACTTTTAACTCATACTGGTCAGCAAAGAATTGTTAAGATACTGTAAAACAGAGTAGGTTACCAATTCAAATCAAACAGGTTCTGACTATTCTGACACTAGACACATGGAAAACCTGTTAATACTTGTACTGTATCATGAGCTAGGACTACATTTGCTTGTAGATGTGTAACATGCAAATGTAGCTTCTGTACCAAAGAACCAAAAGCACTTAAGGTATTAAGAGATTAAACTACAAGGTGAGCTGTAATGCATGAACTTGAGTGAAGCAAAATGTATCTATCTGTAGGACAAAAAGGAATATGTATATAAATATTAGTTACTATTTTTAAATTAATCATGTCAAAAAGCTATTATAAATAATTAAAAGTTTACCATAATGCAAGGTAGTATAGCACAAAAGGATATAAAATGAACAGCAAAAAGTCTCCATAGGACATCATAAATTTAGCTAAAGATTTTTTCAGTTTATATACACGACATCAGCAATATTCTGTTGATACGGTTCCTGGACACTGAAAACTGTTTACTTTGCTTTATAGGTCAGACTGTGGTTGACAACATTCCCATCCTACTCTTCGTTCTACATGCTCAGCTCTATGAATCAGGTTTTCTTTTAAACTAAAGCTTTCTCTGGTTTGTCTGAAACAAAATGTTGCAAACTCTGCATTTTTCAATCAAAAATAATTAAAGAAAAAACTTTACACAACTGAACTGAGAAAATGCCACATGCGACATACTCAGAAGAGTGGCTGATCTTTGTCCCTAGCAATGTCTCGCTTGCTGCTCACAGGGCTGTGGAAAAGAGGGAGCATCCAAGGAGTAATTCTGGCTAGTTTACAAAATATAACTCAAAGACCTATTACATAGGTATTCTGCTTCGTCATGTGATAAACACAAAGTAGTTGAGGAATTGCAGTTTAAATATGAAATGCTTAGAAAAAAACATGAAGGTAAGTTCTTTTAATCTAGCACTCCCTCCACTTCTACTTTATTTTTTTCCACTCTCAGAGCACCTCAGAAACACAGAAAATAGGAAGGAGCAACAGCTATTCCTACAAAACAGGACTTCACAAAGCCTATTTCCTGAGTTTCTCAAAAAAGTAGTTCTCAGAGAGCTCCGAGTAGTCTTCTGAATTCAAAGAAGAGTTCACTCCTTGTATAAGACAGAAAAAACGTCGAGCATAAACAGAGAAGTGAATAAGGATTTAAAATGAAAACTGTCATGTATGTTATGTATTATAAAGCAGCAATGATGAGCTTGCAAGAACCTATGAAAGAGTAAGGTAGGGAAATTACTCCCAGTAGAAGCTCTTACTATTTTCTAAGAATCCAAAAGGTTTATATACTATTTATCACATAAATTATGACTGATGCTATATAGTTGTATTTGCCAGAAACTGATTCTCTCAATGTAAAAAACAAAAAAAAAGAAAAAAAAAAAAAGAAGAAGACCTTCTAATTGTTGCTTTAGCATGAGAGGTCAGCACTGTCATCATATACTGTTAAATGTTTGACTAAATTTTGCCCAGAATATCATGCACTTCAAGTAGAAGTTATTCCAATAAAACAACTTTGTGTAATTGACTTAGAACAGTGTGCAGGTGAAAGCTGTATTTAACTTTCTGTGAGGTACTGCATTAGATTGACTGCATTTGCCAGGACGCCACAGTATGTGAGTATTTTGTCACTTCTAAAGGCTAAATAAGAAGCTAAAGAAATGTTTTGCTTTCTCCCCATGAACTTGTTGAAGAATTTCCAAAATAAAACACTAGACCACAAGTGTGTTTGTGCTATTTAGGACATCTCACCCTTTCAATCATGTTTCTTGTCTTCTCTGTTCCCACAGGGACATCATGAACATGGTACTGGAAGCAAAGATAACTCATCACGGGGTAAGGAGCATCAAACAACTCTCGTAAATATGAGAAAAATCCGTATCGGCTGAGAAGGAGAAAAAGAAGCAGACATCAGGAACAAAATTTGGCAAGTAAGCATGCTGAAGTTACTGAAGACTCAGAAAGAAGTCCCACCAACCTACAACAGAATTGCTGAAAAATTGATTTGCATAGAAAATTCTAACATAAAGCTAATCTACACCAACAACACCAAAGCTTTATATTTAAAGCCATTCCACACTGATATGTGATACACACCGTAATTCTTCAATAGGTCTCGAAGGCAACTTTTCAGCCCATAATTCAGCAGGTGCACATACAGCATTCACTCTTAGTTTCTGATGATCACGCATCTAAATACAGATAACTTTAAGTAAATGGCAAAAAAGAGCTGAAAAATCACTGTATAAAAAATCAAGTATTTATTCTTGATTCACAAAACTGGAACTACTTTAAATACACAACCTCTGGAAGAATACAAAAAAAACAAATCTAGCTCAGGGATCACTGACTTCTCTAAAAGCAAAGCTTAGTTAATTCTCTCACCATGAAAATACCATGCACTAGGAAAAACAAAAGCAATCAGAGAAATCTCAAGCCAGGTGCTCAATCTATGTAGCCAAGAAGGCAGCTCCATCTTTCAGGCTGCAGGGGCATTCTGCACAGATAATGGTGCGCCACTGGCCAGAGAGGCTCTGAAAAGCCTGGTACTAACAGGGCAGAAAAGGTTGTGTATACAAATGAAAGATCAGTTAAGCTGGTTAAAAGGGAAGAAATTAGCGTCATGCTGCTGATGTTTTAATTGGATGAGGAAACACATGTTGCATAACAAACATCAAATGGGAGCAGGCAACCTAACTACATTCCCATGCTTGTGCCTCTGTGAATCCCTTGATGAGCGAAACACGCATAGGACTCTTCTTCTGGAAGACATCTGCTGACAAATACACAAAGATGCTCCCGGGCCAGCCCCTGGACAGTCTGGAGAGGTGCTACCAAAATCCACAACCATGGAGGCAAGACAAGGCCCTACGGCCTCAGATATCACCACTGCTGTTCACATATATGAAAATTAGTAGCTTCTGTGAAGGACAGATATATCTCAAAAAGCTGCAGGAGTTTGTTGTTAATCACAGTATCCCATGGACAGCAGTTGGTATGCATTATGAGTTAATGCCATTGCTCATGGCTTTTTTCTTCTGCCTCATCTGTCTGGCTATAAAAGTGAATTATCTCCTCACCACACCAGGAAACAGCAGTATTAAAAAAATATAAGCTTGATTTCCTGCTTGGACCATTGTCTTGTCCCAAAAGATGCCCTCTTGACTCCTTAGTCAGGAGACATTGAAAAAGCTTGATATTAAATTTGTAGTTTCTTGCTCTTTTCATTTTCTTGTTAAAAGTATTTTTTCCTCCACAATTACTGCCTTGTCAAGGAAGACAAATCTATTTTTAGAAAATAAGTATTTTCTTAATATTCCTGCATCCATCCCTCCAGTTGCTCTACGCTTTTAAAAAGAAAAACAAAAAACACAACAAAAACCTTACTTGAGAAGAAAACCTTAATCCAGAAGTAAACCTTTGAATACTTTTTATTAGCTACTGTGCAGATCCTGACAAACAAACCTTAATAAATACACTCACTTGCTTGACTCCAACATTTTGGGTTCCTATATCAATATTTAATATAATGATGTGCCTACTTGCCTCCACAAGAAACATTTCCATATCTTCTTGACTCTCAAAAACGAAAGCCCTCATGTCATTGCCCGAAATGTGATTTTCAACATATTTAGCGTGTCTATTATCTTTCATATTGATCTGATAAAGAAAGGTAATGAGAAAGTAATTTAATACAATTGGACTTAAGATCCTCCTTAAGCACTTTAAGCAGTCAGATGATCTCTAAGCCTGCATTTAATGAAAACAAAGACAATGTTTAAATGTCTTTAAAGACATAATCTGTCTTTTTTGCAACCAAGTATCTTGGCAAGAAACCTACAGTAACTTGCATATCATTTTGTTTATTTTTTACCCATCCATATCCTTTCTCAGCATTCTTGGAGCTACCATTGTCTCCATCATACCACCTCCCCTTCTTCTGCTGCACCCTAAACTTAAAAACTGCAGCCACCACCTTCTCCTGTCTAGTGGCTCTTCTCCAGTGTTTAGAAACAACTCAGGGAAACAGACACCATCACACCCCACAAGTTATTCATATGCAATTCCCTTTGATTTGGACATATTGAACATCACCAAATATAAATGCAGAATTGTGATGCCCTAGGAACACAAGAGATACACAGATGGAATGAATTATATTAGAATTCTTTAAAAAAAAAATAAAAATCAGCAACTCTCACTAGTGATTACACATTCAGTCACTATACATGACACACAGAGGCAAAATTACACAGAACTACACAATTTAATAACCTTAAGCAGTCAAAGGCTGGGGGTACAATTACTAGCAATTTGAAGGATGTAATTTATAAGTAAATGAGATTAACTTATATCACATCACAGAAAACAAATTCAGACATTAGTGAATGTTACAGAGGCCTTATTGTAAGAGCAAAGGCATTCTACTAAGATATTTGTAAAATTAACTTGGTGTGGTCTTGGAGGAAGAATGAGAACTTCTGGTAGTAACACAAAATACTTGGGATTTTATACTCAACAAAAATAATTCTGAACAGTTCTAGTAAATGCACAAAGCGTAAGAACTAGCATACAAATATTCCACGTTCAATTAATTTAAATTGTAGCAACATACCATTAAAATAAGCCTGCAATTCTGAGAAGGAAGAGGAATGCATTCTTTACATTATATGGAGCATATATTGCATGAGGCTGAGATAATGGTGGAGGAATGCACCAGAAAACAAACAAACAAACAAAAAATGAAGCAACTGAAAATTTAGCCCTGCTATTCCTAGCTAACACAGTGTTTGTCAAACCAAAACACAAAACAAAACTAGGACTAAATTTGGTGCTTCCGTGTCTGTGCAAAGCAAACCACAACATCTGGGAATCACAATGACATGCTGTAACCCTTGCTGGGCAGACTGCTATAAAGGGAGGTATTCAATTGAAACTACCACTGCTTTTTAAGCCACAAATAAGAACTACTTGAGTCTAAATAACTGGGTATACCTTAAAGGAAATCTCCAATGGGCACTTTAACAAAAGACTGGTCCTTTAGGAGGAAAGGGGAAGAAACCTCTTAACCTTACTCCATGTTGAGTATTACTACATTGTCTACAGAATTAAAATTACAAATAGTTCACCATTCTAATGTATCTTGCATGTAAGTGGCAGCATGTTTGAAGATGTCTAGAAAGTCTCAGTCATTCTCAAAGTCTCGCACGGCATAAATCAACTAAACATTAACTGGTTAGAGTGATACACAAGTAAATTTTCTTACTTCAAGCATCATGGGTTCGCAAACATTTTTTTTAAACTTGTCTCTATTTTTTCTTAGCCACATAAGAGCAGTGTGTGTGTCTCGGAATCTCCCTTTAAGTATCTCCTCCTTCATACTCATTATATTACTAAGTTGTCCAAGGCGATCAATTATTCCTGTAATTTAAGGCAGTTTCTTTAACAGAGTCCACAGCAGGTACACATTATAACTAGCAGTTTCCAGTATTCATTGACTATGCTACTCCACCAACAAAGCTGTGAAGAGCTTGTAATAATCAGGAGTTTCTATTCCCACAATCCAGATGCTGCTCATTCTATAGAAATCTTAAGAACTATTAAAGCTTAAAATCTAACATAAAATTAAGACTTACCCAAAGGATAATGAAATGTGATATAGCACATTCAAACACAGGAATTAAGTCCTAAAAGTATCTCATTTTAAAACTTTTTCTACCTTTGTATTTAAAACACCCCAAGAGGAAAGAGGTAGCGGCACTAGCAACATAAAATCTGAGTGCTACTCAGTGCTTGCAGGAAATGACACGTGACAACAGACTGTGGGCAAAAGCATTTGCTATTCAGGAGAAACAGAGATTGAATACTTCCTGTGCCTCTCAATGTAAAACATACAGTGTCTCCCTCCCAAGGTCATTTGGTCTCTCTGTACTTCAGTTTCTTCTTGGATTCTATGGTAGGTGTCAAATAGACAGGAAGGTGCAAATGTACTATACTCACAGAGGAACATATACAATGCCCCTACCAGGACAGCTGTAATTTTTGAATTTTGTTTCTTAGAAAGAACTAATTGTAAATCCTAGCCTAGTATAAAGAATTTACTAAAATTAAGGTTAGCTCAGGGAAGTACAAAAGCAGCATCAGTAGCTAAATACACTGTCAAAAAGATAGTTTTAAACACTGCATCTTCAAAGAAAAATGCTTTTGCTTCAGGTTTGGGTTTGTTAGGTTTTTTTTGATCCTGCTAACAGTAGACACCCCCATTTAATAACAGAAAAAAATGAAACTGGCAAACCAGCCTCCTTACCCAGAGATCAGAGGAAACTGATTTTTTGGAAGGATAGCTTCAAACCTTTTGACTTCTGAATCTTACTGTTCTTTATGTTTTGGAAGTGGTCTCTATTCCTTTTAATAACACTGGTAACAGACCAGAGGACTGCTATACATGTAAGATACAAGTATGAAGCTTGAGGTAAACTTTTCAGATTACTTCACTACAGCAGGACAAGTATAGTTTCCATAAAAACAGTCATTATAAAATATAAATAATAAAAAATGAAAACAAACAAAACCCCAAGTAACTTACTTTTCTTTTCCCTCTCTTGGTTCATTTTTTCTGCTGTTAGATCACTTAGGTCACTATCAGTATTTGCCCTTTCTTCTTGTAATTTTCTCAGCTCATTATTAACAGCATCGATTTGTGGCTGAAGATTCTCACAGACTACCATTGTATTGAGCTCATTCTTCCAGTCTTCTATTATCTTGTGAGTATTGTGTATTTTTCTCTGTCTGTCCATTTCTTCATCTTTTTTCATTCTCAAAGCTTGAAGAATGTCTTCAATCTAACAATTGAGCATTTCCAACATTAGAAGAGTTCAGTATACAAAACCTATGGCAAATAACTAGGATATCTGTGCAGCTGGTATAACTGCTGATGTAATCATGCACTGAGTCAGTAAATAGTTCAAATATAACACCTTAGTAATACCTTTTAGGCTAACAGGCATTTTAAAGATACACTGTGTACTGGACAGAGTGAAGCGTGCAACCACATGCAGCCTCTTCAGAGAAATCTCCCTCTCCATGGACAAAGGAGCAGAAAAAAATGAACCCAGCATCTGTGTTTTACTGCAGAACTGAAGTAGCAGCATTCCGCCTAAATGCATCATATGCTATAGTTAGCAATGAACTAATGCATTAGCAAAGAAACACCTAAAAAGTCACAAATATCAAGACTCTTACTTCTTTCTCTTTCAATTCCAAAGCATCTTGCTTCTGCTTACATTTTTGAGAAATTTCTTTTATTTCAGCAGTCTGAAAACACAAGATATTTGCGTTAGACATTAATAAACTTAGTTTTATTTGTAAAAAGCAGACATATTTAAAGGAACATTCTGCATATGTGTAACTAAGCATTTATTCCACTTTTTATTACTGAAAAAGTCAGACTCGTTGGTTTCTTTTATTCTTGCTTGTATCTGAAATGTGTATATTCAGCAATTTATGAAAAATTGAAAAACAGTATACCACCTCTCACAACCCTTCAGCTTCACATTTGCAAATTCAGGCATGACAAATAGAGGAAGTCTCCAAACCCAACTTCAAATTAAAGTAGGTCCATCTTCAATTTCAATGAAAATAATACATTTAGACCCTTACACTTATAAAGTGTTCTTGCCTCTCTCAAAACCAACTGTACCAAGGAAAGATTATACTTAGAGCAAGAAAGGCTTAACTTCCTAGGAACAGGATGGCCAAAACAGAATTTGTCAGTCATCCTACGCCTGAAGTGCATTGTGCTAAAGCTATATACTGCTCAGCCTAGCTTAGCAGCTTGTTGGCTCACATCTAGGCACCCATGTTTCTGGGCTTTCTTTTTTTTTCATGTTTCTGGTCTTTCCGTATTGCGCTCCACTTCTGTAGAGCTGCAGAATAATACAGGTTGAAAGGGACTATAGTTGTCACTCAGTCCCTGTCTCACCAGGGCAGGTTGCCTCAGGCATTTGTACAGCCGAGTTCCGAACTAACAGAAATGTACTATCCTTTCTCTACAAACTTCATTCCTCCTTCCCTGAACCTTCACAGCTGAAAGCAGTGCAAGCAGAATACTGGAATGCTGGAAGGACTGTAAGTAAGTTCCAGTGCAGACATGTAAACAAACACACATAGCACTCTGGCTATGAGAAATGTCTTCCTACAGTCACACTGAAAACACTCAAGATGCATCAAAAATGGAGAAAATATAACTATGCAGAATCTTTCCTCTCCCATAACCTGGAAGATGCACAAAAAATTAAGACCCTGACTCAACAGCTGTTAGCATGAAGGCAACATGGAACAATACATCTCAGTCATGCAGCTAATTGCAATGCAATACTGATTCCATACTCTCTCCAAAGACCTCAAGCAGGCATCCTAAAGAGGAAGCACTCTGCCAGCAAACTGATGCAAAATATTCACAAAACAATTCTGAAGGCTCTCAAGTTCAAGATAGTAATAAGGAACTGAATTCAATTTTTCAATTATCACCTTTTCAGTCATCATATATATTTATGTATCTGCCTTACGGAACAGATTCATAAGAAACTTCCTTTATGGTTTTCATGGTACAACCACAACACACCACTTCATGCTGTCAAATATTCCTAAAATATATTGCATTGCACAGTCCATTCTGTTCAAATGCCTTTAAAGACTCTGAAGCCAACACTATTCTAGGCTTCTCTCACATGATTTTATCAACCTCTTTCTACAAAATAGGCTTATTTGGGTTTTCTTTTTTCAGGATCTACATGTTCTACACACTCAAAGCACATGATTTTGCTAGGGATTCTTAGTTCCACCAAATCCATAAAAGGATTGTAACAAACAGACAGGAACAAAGCAGTCATGCCATGGCTCGATACCTTAATTTCTTCCTAAATTTAGCTTTGCCTTCACTTTCAGTCCAGTTCCTCCCAGGCAAAATTTTTACCACCGTGTCAGGCTTTTTGCCAACAAAAATTGCCAAGTGCCTTTATTACAAATTGAAATTTGGCTTGAAAAGATACAACTTTTGGGACCAAAACACAGTAACATTGTATAATAAAATCATTCATTAATTAACTTCTGCTGGCTTACAACATAACTGTCTGAAATGCTCACATGTAGAAAGATAAAATTTTAAGTTACAATAAATTCAAGCAGTATCTATGAAAAAGTGAAGAACTAATTAAGAATTTAATCAATTTTAAATATGGTTCTTAAAAGCTTTCTGTTTTTGCCTTAAGTCAAAACTACCTCCTGACAGTGCAAGGAGCACTGATTCTCCTTTAAAATAACTGCTTTCACAGCCCAACTAAGAAGGTATGTATGTATGGGAGGACAATGGCTTTCAGTACCCAAAAAAAAAGCTACTATCACAGAACTTCCAAAAGCAGTAATATACCTTTACTGTCTTGTTACCTTGTGTGGTGTCATACAAACTGTTCCTATCATAACCAGGTATATAATACCTTTTATATAGCCTTTTACCATTACTTTAGACTCTAAAGAGGCTTCTTCAAGACAGAATACTAATAATCCAAATTAGACTTGTATTTATTTATTTATTATTTATTTCATCTGTAGCATCTTTCCTTCTTTCTGGCTTCTGGAGTATTATAGAACAAAATGCACCTAATTCATTTGCTGTGCCCCAACTGAACACCACTTCAGCATAGTGCTAACCTTGTGGACATTTAGTGTGTGACAGTCTTACTCTACAAGTTTAGATTGAGCAGCAAAATATCTTGATTCAAGTATTTGAGTTGATCAGTAAAAGGAAAATGGGCTTCATCCTGGCTCAAACCAGGACAATCAGCTAGTACAGTCCTTCAAGTCTTCTATCATAGTTCTGTAGCAAACGGCCTATGCTAAATACACAAGTTAAATTTAAAATGCTCACTGTTTTGTTCTAGGTTTCTTATACAAACAGGGGAAAAACTCTGCATGAGTATAGCCCAATACTTCTAAGAATTCTGGCAGCAATGGTGCAGAATTCTTTTCAGTTTGAAAAAATATAGTAGTATAAATAATTGAAATAAAAGGTATAAGTAAAACTTAGCAGGGTAATATGGAACAATGAAAATAATGCTTAGTATTTCACAAGGACAAAGGCACTTACTGCACCATGAAAATTAATTTCAACCTTCCAGCTGTTAAACCTCCTCTAAGGAAGTACACTTAAATAAAAGCCCCCAAAACAAATAAAAAACTCAATGAAAGCCCACTTTAATAAAACTGCAAGATTTTTAAGCATCTAGGCATTTTGAGTCACAGCATAAGGAACTCTTGCAGTACTGTGGAGCACAAAATGCAAAGTGCTTTCTTAATAATAACAATTATAGAAGTACAGAATGGTTTGGGACAACATGTTCCAATGTCTCACCACTCTCATGGTGAAGAATTTCTGCCTAATATACTTGGGTAAGTAATATTACCTGGCATAGTTAACATCACAACCAAACCAGAAACAGTGTGAACAACAAACTGTGGGGTTTTTTTGTCTGGTCTTTCTGTTTTGTTTGTTTCATTGTTTACTTTTCTTCCAGTTTTGATTTGCTTTTCGGGCTTCTTTTATTTGTGGGGGAGAGTTTTTTCGTTTTTTTAAGAAAGCACATGGCCAGTGTATTAGCTCACAGTGCAATAAATGTCACTGAAATTTCAGACCCCGATTCTTCCTGACAGGTTTGCTACATGTCACATGCATGTGCACACCAAGTCCTTTGATCTGATCAATTCTCTTCAAACAGAATTCGTGGCAGCAAACTGTCATGTTACCAACTAATTTTGGTTATCCATTAGAAAATGAGCCACCTATGCACAAAATGACTTCTGCAGCCTGAATAGTACATGTGGTTAAAATACTACAGAGTTACAGTACTTTCTAATTTGGCACACAGAAATAGTAATTTCTGGTATCTCCAGAGAGAGCAGTTTTCAAAAAACAGATAGTAAGGTATAAGGCACAGATATGTTTTCTATTCAGTTCTTTTATGCATAAAAGTATTCACTACTGATGGAGGTGTACTATCTAACAAAAAATCCACCCTACATACTAAATTAAGTTAATTATTAAAATAAGGCTTTTAGGCCAGAAAAGTTGTCATTTAGCTTAAATTAAACCACCCAAACTGCCTACATTTTAAGATGATAAACAGAGCATCCACAAACCCAAACTACTGAACAAATGAAAACAGGCAACTAATTCAATCTAAGTATCTAACTCAGGAAAACTGTAGGATTATATCCCTCAAAGTTTTGAAGGTTCTATGAAGAGAATTATAAAATTTGCATGCTCTTAAAACCAAGAGAATGGACTTCCAGTGTTGCTACTGAAATTCTACTTTAAAATGTATTCCTTGAGCTTTACTGCTTTCAATGGAACAGAGGCATGGAGAAGGCAGTGAGAAAACAGGGCACAGATACTTCAGAAAAATTTCTTCTGAAACACATCATTATGGAACACTAGAAAGAAAGAGGTTATTGCTTTACACCTTCTAAAGCTCAACACAGAACACCTGAAGTATTACACACATTAGCCGAGGTTTTCAAATACCTACCTTATCCCTGAGTTTCATATCCAGACTCTTAAAACATTCTTCAGTTTCTTGAATTTTTTTCGTCACTGGGGCCTGCATTTCTTTCAGATTCTTCAGTTCTTCCTTGGCTTGGTCTCGGCTTTGTTTTACTTCCTCATGCTGCTGACGAACATTTTCATATTCCTTGAAGGAATAATTAAATACTTTTGTCTTGTATTTCAATATTTTATACTGCTCTAGCACTTTATTTAATTGTAGATTTGTTGTAGGAGAAAAATCTCATTGAGATTCTAGTATTAGGGCAACCACTTAGGCAATCCTCACGTTACTAGTCACTATTACTAGGATATGTTGGGATCATTCAGTTCCCAGTGACCAAGTACACACATTTCATGGTTCTTAAATAATATGCAATTTAAGGGGCACAAGAAATTATGAATTTGACTGCAATTACCTTCCCTCTAAATCCATCTGTGATTGATGTGGAATTATTTAGCCCTCTCTGTCCATAGTTTGTGTACTACTTAGCCAGAAGTTGTCAAGCTAAGGTGCAAATAACCACAGAAAACGTCAGGAGAAAGAAAGGAGCTGGCCAAATCACTAGAGTAAGTAAATCAAGGAGAGAGAGCAGAAGAGAATTTCAGGAAACAAAAAAACTCCAGCACACACCACAAATACCACAGAAGTCACAATCTAGGCAGTTGAAGTGGGGATGTGTTCCTGGGAAGAGAGAGATTGCAAGGAGTGTGGTGACGAAGAACTTTCATTTCAAGAAGGTGAAAATTTTTGGGGAAAAGTAGTTTAGGCTGAACAAGTAACTACATTTTTTTGTGTTATGCACTGGAGGAAAATAAAAATAGCAAAAACCTAAACCAAATGAAGAGCATGACGCTCTTAATAAGAGGTAATAATAATTAAGGGTTCATGAGAAAAAAAAAATATTCAGAGGGCCAGATGGAGGAGGAGACACATGTACATGGGGTGCACAGGAAGTGAAAGCTGTTGGATTTGGCGGGCACTGAAGAAAGCCCCTGGTTTAGAGCATATGCCTGGATTATTCCAAGGTTTGGAGCATTAAAAAAACCCCAAAACAACATAGTCTGCAAGCTCTATCTATAACAGCTAACTTTGCTTTATCTACTACCACTTTTTGCTAGTTAGTTATTTAATTACCCCACTTGTAAACACATATGATTAATTACAAATAAATCAACTCAGGTTATTAAATCCAAATTCTTTCTTCACAGTTTCCTTTTAATAAGGCCAAAAAATATTTGAAGAAAGCTGCAGTAATTCTATGCTCTGTGGTACAATCAGCAACCACCATCACAAAGCTGTAGGCATAAAGCTGTACCACTTAGTTGATAGAAAAAGTTTAAAATGTAGCTCTTGTTCTAAGTTACTACATTTCAAAGTTAAAACAAATGCACACACACACAATTATACCTAATTTCTTCAGAGACAGGCAAATTTCTCTGAAAACTGTCAGTATATGGTATTTATACAGCAAATCCAACTAACACTTTAAAACTTGATTTCCACTAGACCCCTGTATTCTGACAGCCTTGAAGCAGGTAACTTTGGTGCTTGTAATTACACACTTTGCTAAAGATGTGCAGAACTTCCAAATAATTTCAGCCCTCCCAAGAGATATTTCCCCCTAAAAAGAAATAATAAAAAAATCAAACAAAGCTTTTCTCAGTTATGAATGGGAGAATAAAAGAAGAGTGACATGGTTTGGTCAAAATACATTTTCAGAATTACATGTTTCAGGACATCTACAGCAGAAGGAACAGAACCTCCTGTTACCATACTACCTTAAAACACTGTATCATATGGTATACCATGCTACCTTAAGATGAAGCTTGGAGGGGCAAGAAAACCCTTTTCTTTGAGACCCTATAAAAGAAGGACTACCTATTTAAAAAAAAACCATAGTTGCTTAAATCTGCTCACTGATTGTAGATGACATGACCACTTGATGACAGCCCCATTAAGGTACACAGGAGAACATAAAATGTCCTCTGAACACACAAATCTTTAACACTGTTCTTCTACAGCTCAGTTTATGCAACTTAAAGCAGATGCTTAAAAGCCTATGTATTTAGTTGGATTTTCTCATCCCCATTCAACCGAGGGGGCAAGGGTAAGTGAAGCCACCTGGGTCTTTATTGTCATTCCAGCAGCTGCATGATTCTTTGTTGTCAGTTAGGTCTGCACCACAGCAATATTTTGCAATAGGAGAATACCAAGAGATCTGCCTTAGTTTTTGGTCCTGCTCTGGCAGGGGAGTTTGACTCTAAGATCTTCGAAGGTCCCTTCCAACCCCTAACATTCTGTGATGTGTCTGAAGGATTTGATAAACCACAAAACAGTAACAGTCTTGTACACTGAAGATCACAATGTGAAATTTTGTTGCAGCCTGTAGTTCAAATACCTGCTATCTAGTATACAAATTATGCTGATCACCCTTGATTTCAACTGTAGATTATTATCCACAGGCAAGTGACTTCTAGTAATCTGGTACACAGTACCAGTTCTATGCTACAAATCAGTACTTTACAGAGGTGTCAAAACACGCTATTGACTCTATGGATTCAGTGGCCAAAAAGTTAAATTCCTCCTCACTGAATTCAACCACTAAAAGTATACAAATATGATATGTAATTTTTCATAAGTTCTGTATCTGTATTTAATGAATTTTAAAAAGCTTGTAATCAAAGCAAACAACATTGCTTCAATATAATAAAATCCATGCCATCTTAAATTGTTTATAATAATTTAATCTGATTGACCAATGTTAAACAAAACTACAGTCATCAAAGTACTATTTGGAAAGACCCAATTTGTTTTGCATGAATTACCTATCCTTGTTTCTAGGCTCTTTTACATGTTTAAAATTTCCATCTCTCCAAATGCAAATACTTTTGAGATAGGCAACCTGTATTTGCCCTGATTTATGACATGCACACAAAAACTCAAATAAATTCAAATTTGCAAAGGGGGAAGGCAATCTGTAAGAAACAAAACATTTGTAAAAAAAGTTATGGCTGGAAGAAGCAATTGGAACAGCTAGGTACAGCTTAAATTAAGCCAGTTGTATCTGCAAGGAATAAAATGAGTACTGCTCTTGGCTCATACTGCTGGCCTCACTAAATGGGCAGTAACTACTTAAATTACGTCTTCAGCAACTTCTTCAGTCCAGCTACATACGGTGGCAAACTTCTGATGAAAGTTAGGCTGATAACAGTATTTCAAGACCTGGCCTGTCTGCACCAAGCAATTGTAATGTTTGTCAAGTTACTCCAGTAAAATTTATTTTAAATGAACTTTTAGCTTATTTCTAATATGGCAGTATTAAGAAAAACGGGTTAAGAGAAGCATGGAAAACAAAAACTTACCACCCAAGGCCTTTTTCTCTCAAGCATCTCGATTAGGTCCATATGGCGCTTGCGCTCATGGTATCTCTCAACATCTTGTTTGTATCGTTCAACCCTCTGTTTCATTTTCTCCAAAGAGTTAGTTTTGTCTCTGCACAAGTTCTGTAAGAAAATGCATTTTCATGTTTGTAGTCTCTAGTTTGTGAAAACACTTTTCAGAAATAGTTCACACCTCACTTGTGCTTTAGAACAGAAATATAACACTAGAAAGGATCTTTTACTGCAGTAGTAATTATAGGACAATAACCCAACCAGGAGTACTTGTTTGGCCTTTTCAAGCACATTTATCACATACTTCCTATGAAAAAAAACAACCCTAGTTTAGACAACAACTTTACTGTGACTATTTTAGTTTATTACTTTTAAAATTTCTTAGGAAGTTACTCCCTCCAGCTCAAGCCTCCATTAATCTAGATGTTTCTAAACCACCATAGCTGGCTTTGATAAATACAAGAAGCAAAAATGCCTGTGAAAAATCTTGCAGAGATTTGTAACAGAAACATCAAGGTTGGTATGTGAACGTAATATGTGTAAGTGTAAATGCATGTGCATGCACAAGCACATGAAACAGCAGACCAAAGGATTAATATAAGGGCCTGTATGTAACAACAGACACTGCTCCCAAGATACCATTCCCAGCAGTAACAGCAAGGAACATGTTATTTCTGCAAAGATCATCAAGCCTGTGCTCTGTAAGATTTCAGTACAAGTAATGCTCAAGGAAAGACTCTGTGTCCTTTAAACCATGACAGCAACTAGGTTGAAGCTTATTGGGTACACTCTTCCTTTTCCTCTTTGTCTGTTAATATTCCAAACCAGGAACAACAGCTAGCAGGCAACAATCTTGTCCATAATTTATGGAAGCTGAAGTCAGCAGGGCAAAGGATCACAGTATAACAGCTGATGACTTTGAAAAGGCAAAAAGGATTTCTCCAGAAAAGCTGCTAATCCAGAACAGCAGAGAAGTGATGCATACTTGGCAACAGGAATCCCTTGTCTTCTGTGTCCCAGTCAGCTGCACATGTCTGCCTGTTTATGAGTGAGTGTCAGAGTGAACTAATTCTGCGAGAAGATGAGCATTATTTGACAAATCAGCTTACTGCAGGCTTTGTAAATAAATAATACCTTACAACTCTGCAAGATCTTGCATTAAATTTTGCTATGCTCATTTCTCTACAGCCACTGCTCTCTATCTCTATAATGTTCATATTTACCTCTAGTTCTCTTTCCTTGTCTCTGAAGCTTTTCAGTTCACAGTGAAACCGGTACATTTCTGGAGGACCAATAGATTTTTCAGTGGCTTCGAGCAACTCAATCTTACTCAGTTTTGCAAATTCTCCAACTTTATCCTACAAAAAAACCCCACCAAAAAAAGAAGTTATAAATAGACAGTATTAGTAAAAATCGTGCAACACAGCAATACTGGATTTAAATACCGCAACCTATTTCTCATGAAGATCAACCGACCTACAGTTCTGTGCCAGATAGCTCTGGCATACTTAAGCATAGGATGACCATCTCAGAGGAGCAACCAAAACCTTCTAAACAGAAGTGATTTTCCTGGAGCTGTTCTGGAACTATTTAAGCTAAAACGCTTAGCTGTTCTTGGCTGTTTGGCAGCTTTTGAGTAGATAATATGCTCATTATATGTGAATTGGCTATCATTCTTCTGAACAATAGTTTAGTACAGACAACTAAAAGGTTTTAATCCACTGTATTCTTATTATTAACTACAATGTAGAAATTAATATTAAGGCTGGAATCACTGCTGCTGTTGAAGGCAAAGGAACTGCTCAAAATCAAGACCGGAGTGAAAGTGTGCTTGCCACTGCTAGGGTGGCAGAGAGCAAATAAACCAAAACTTACAGCACAGTAATATTCACTGAACTGATATTTATGCACTAAAGAAGAAAAAGCTGTTTTAAATACCAAAGTTATGTTGGCAGAGTATGCAGAAAGTTCTACTCTAAGCAAATATTGATAATATGTAAGTGAAACCCCAGAGAATATTAATTTTTAATTTTAAATATTTTTCAACATGTCTTCATGGCTGCACAAAAATCATGATGTTCCCAAGCATGGATTCATGTACAGAAACCGCTTGCAGTATTATTTATTTTTCTTTCTCCTTTAGGAATGATTTGCCATTAGGATAATTTTACTATTACATAATTTGATACTAAGTATGCTCAAGAAACTGCTCAGCCACAGATGCTACCAGACTCTGCTGCAACCGCCGAGTGATTTAGTAGAACTGCTTTCTGGTTTATAGAAAAGGAAATACTGACAGCTCTTTCCCGTCACTCACCAAGTACAGGGCCCAATCCTGAGCAACTTACTGGATATAACCAGAGAAGACTACATGTGGGGACTGACCAGGAAGGTCACAGATGCAGAGCTACAGAAAATAGGCAGGTAAAGGTACAGATAAAGTGCTAGATCTCAAGACCTTATAAAGATTTCCATAGATTATTTTTTTTTAATATCCTGACAACAGTAGACAAGAAAGGGAGATACCAGTGCTAGTGCTGCTGTTCATTCAAACACCAACATGGAGAATATCAGCAGCTTTCCTTTCACTGTCAACTGATAGCAGGTACAAAACCATCCAATTAATGAGCATTAAAGGTCACAGGATTCCTCCTTATACCATCACACTGGTATGGCCACCTTATTCCCTCATTCTTTGTGCTGTTCCACTAAATCACTTAAGTGCTACCATAGCTAAGAAGCAACAAAACCCTCTCAAAACACCTAACTCCATTTGCACTGTGTTTCAAAATTCATTCATACTTGTGGAAGAAACTGGCACAAATTGTCCACTTGGATGCTTAAGGCTGCAACCTGCTCCTCTACTGTTTTCAGGGTTGTTGGCTTTCTGTTGATAAACCATGCTGATGTGTTGTTCACCACTTGAATCTCACGTGTGATAATGACGTTGTCAGGATTCTTGAACCTGATTAATAAAAAGAAGTGTTTACACCTTTGAGAATATACAAAGGTTACCAGGTGTCAAAGTATGTTAGAACTTTGGTATTAAAACCTTTAAAAAACTAAGTATTTACCATAAATTAACTGGAGTGGCAACAGATTAACATTTTATTCTGCAGGAAACATGCACTGTACTTCAGTGATTAATTAATTTCACATGGAAAACATCAAGAATGTCTGCAAATCTTAACTCAGAGGAAGTTATTATATAAATGACATAATCATGCTGAATGTGTAAGCCACTTACAAGTTGTTACAGATATGAATAGTTTAGACAAAGCTGGTTTTTTAGTAAGTTTTAGAATTGGTATGCACGAGGTCCACACTAGTGCTAAGATGTTAAAAGTAAAAAATGTGTGTACAGAACTACACCAATAAGCTGTTTATATACATTCCATCAGGGAACAAAAATAGCATGAGGCAGCATAAAAAAAACCCCTTAATTTGTTTTCATTTTGTGCTTTTAAAGAATGGCAAAGCTGCCATCAGTAGTTCACTAAGCTCTCTATCTCAACAATTATCTTCAAAAATCTTAATCTCATTAAGATGTATCAGTAACAAATGAGCAATGAGATAGCAACAAATTCTTGAAATTTTGGTCACCATTTTGATTTAGAAATTGTCTAGTGCCTGTTCAGTGGGTATATTGTTAAAGGTGGAAGATAAGGGCTCATAACAGGCTCTGAACCACAGGTGGCCTAAGAATAGAGGTCAAAGTAGAAGTGAGTAATTCAACAGCTTCCAGTATTTGGAACATACATCATAGAACCACAGAATCTTAGGGGTTGGAAAGGACCTCCAAAGATCATCTAGTCCAAATCCCCTGCCAGAGCAGGATCACCTAGAACACATCACACAGGATTAAAATTTTGAAGATTGGGTTAAAAAAAAAAAAAAGAAAATGTAAATCACCAGCTTAAAGACAAACCTCCATACACACTAGATTTTTTCTCTCAACTTTGTGAATGGCTGTGTGGGGAAATAATTCATTAAAACACAGGAGGAAATACATTTTTACTACTTACAGTTCAATTTCTACTACACCTTTCAAGCACCCCTGCTTTACAAAGAGACCAACCTACAAAATTAATTATATATGTTATTATTTAAAAAGAACAGTATATTGAAATGCAATCTTTTATAAAAATATATATTTGTACAGTAAAGTTACTGTAATGGGACATTTTATCGAAAACTTACAATTAACAGCTAAAATTTATTTTGGCTGTGTATTAACTAAAAGTAAAGACACTAAAATCTTCCTCATCAACTAGAAGCATTAGAAATTCCTCCATGGTCTAAACATTTCTTACCAATTTCAGTCTCCAAAGTTAAATGAATTATAATCTACAGACCCACAGAGGGGAAGAAGCTCTCATTAATTTGGGGAACAGAAATAATACAAGTAAGCCAAATAGCTATACTAGTAGAAATTTCACTCCTAAGAGTATAAAAATATGTAAACATGAAAAGTCAATAGAAATGCCAACACACAGTGCTGCCATGCAGTCAATTTCCGTATTTACATTTGCTAAAGACTGGGGTGCAGCCAGAGAACATGTACAATCACTTAGGCACCCAGATTCAGTGCTTCAGAGAGAGAATTACAGAAGTTCATACTCACCTTGTCAGCCCGCCCTATGAAAGAAGGTTTTCCAGCTAATCCCAGGCAGATAGCACAAACAATGCTCGACTTTCCTGTTCCATTAGCACCTACAATCATGTTCAGATTGGGTCCTGGACGTACTTCACAAACATCATATGTTCTGGAAAGCACAGTAATTTTTTGAACCTTACAAACAGCATGTGACCTTTAAAATAGGTACTTGTTTAAGAACACCTTATGATTATACTAAGTATTACGGATAATTTTATAAAATGCAGGCTCAACCCACAGTCTGTTTTGTGTTGGTATGATCAGTAGCATCCCCAATTTATAATGAACTTCACTATTTGATGTTCTTTTCCCACACTGTACCAAACATACAGCGAGTTACTGACACCAAAGAAGAAGGAGAAAGCAGCAAATGATAAGACAGTGACATAATCCATGTACTTCTGGGAGAGAAGGTATGTGAACCCTTGATGCTGAGACTCCAGTTACTATGTTTGAAGCTTCAACCCGCGGCTGCAGCATGACCTGTAAACTACGCTACTCACAACCGTTCTCAAGGATGGCAGGGAGCTGTCAGCATCCCAGCCGAAAGAAAGTGGCCTGAGAACTTGTTCGAGTAACTACAACAGCTCCGAAGAGAATGGCACTCCCAGAGAAGCTGAAGAAGACATGCGGATAGCACCACAGATGCTTAATCCTGCTGGTTCCCTGGGCCTGTTGCCACTTGCTTTCTTTAAGAACATCACCTGCAGCTTCCCCTGTCCCACAGTCACGCATCTGGGAGGGGCTGACACGGACCGCAGGCCCCGCCACCCCAGGGGAAGAGC